AAAAAATCTATTTTTACTTGTCAGTCAGCCGGCTATTCATTTAGGATCGATGGGTTAATAGAATAAAGATACTTCTTTCGTAATCCTTCCCAAATCGAGCACTTTAAACGAGAAAATTCACACCATTGCAGCGCCATGTGTTCAATATAACCAAGCCATATAGACGTGGGTTTGCCCTTTTGCAGTCTGGCGTGCGTTGCACTTTCGGAGTCTGCTCTTGACGTCTTTATTATATGTCCAATATTGCACTTTTGTTCTCTCGATTTGATGCATGAGAGATTCATCGGCAAGATCATTTCGAACTGTTAGACTACGAATCGTTTTTGACCTCATCACGAAAGCATTCCTTAGAATAAGCCTCATTTTTGGTCGTCTGTGCCCTTGATTGCACTCTTTCAGAAAATATTCGTGTTTCCTGACTACTGGCGGCAGTAGGTGCATAGATCACTTCGAAGACATATCGTTTCGAATCGGTGCTTGGCACTTCTTCATTGCCACCAGGTTATTTAGCTCCCGCATGACGATGCTAATCGGACTGGTTCATCTGTCTATTTCCGTTTTACGAATGCTACCCTGAGATATTAGAGGCTTCTCCGAGTACCTCACTTGAACACATGTAGCAGCTCATTTCATGAGTACGTGAGCCTCAACTTCGTTGAACTTTTCTTTAATTGTTTAAAAGGACTAGTACTTCAGTTAAAAATTGGTATTTGAAAATTTTTCTATATCGTAGAATACTGAGAGGCACTGCGATTGAATACGCATTACAAAACAGAGTGTAAAGCATCTGTATCACCGTTTTCTTTTTCCGAGTTTGCCCCGAAAATGGTGTCGATCTCACATGGCAAGAATAGTACCGCCTTCTTCCTCGAGCCTCAACAGGGTGGTCACTCAAGGCAGTTTAAAATCTGACTTATGGTCTGGATCATTTCGAAACAGCGCCAATTCAGCCAATAAGTCACATGCTACCAGCAACAATCGAACAGGCAAGCCTGTCTCTCTTCCGGCCATTTCAGTATTATTTCACTTATTATCTTTCTTTTTTGACCTAAACAAAATCCATGAGATTTCTTAATCATTCTTTGATATTTATGTTTTTCTTGCGCAATATTACTGACACACTGATTGACTTAATTGTTTTCACTTTTTAGTTAACCTGCCATTAACCGTCGTCGTGTTTTCACTTTGAGTTTTTTGATTTTGAATTCTGTTTCTAAACGGTGTTTACAGTATCATGGTTATGGCGTAAATAGTCCACGGTAAACAAAATCTGTGCATTCCTATGATATGTGTCATACAGGGCCAGTATTCATCTGATCATCACCAGATAAAGTAAAGTTGCATTTAACGTGCAGTTATTAAAGACTAACCGGTTTCAGTGAGTTTTATCGTTTACTGCCTCCGGGGCGAGGTCACAAGGGCAACGGCACTACTCCATTGTCAATCTTACAGCTGCTGGGCATGGTAACATCGTACACATGCACTTAGGCCGTTGGCTAGCCCTGTGGCAAAGCAGTTCACCTCGCTAGGTGAATACTCGGTCGATTACTTATTCCAATTTTACCTCGTCACCGATATCGGATGACGGAATGTAGGCGATCTAAGTGCAGGTTAATTAGGTTATTAAGTTGTCCATGCCTCTCGTAAATGTCGCAGCTTCAGAAGTGAATTATCTTATTATTATCTTATTATCTTTCATGAGTACTCGGTTTAAAATCTGTCTATTGATCAACGTTAATCGTAATCGCAGTTTCTCATCTGAATTCCTCATGACTCAATAGCTTGACACGAAACTGACTTAAAACAATTCTACATGCTTTTAAGACATCGTTTTACGCTATCACAAGCTCCGCTGTTGTGCAGAAATATTGCCTATTTCTGTAACGTCCATTCAATGTGTGCAACGACACATGATATGTTGGCTTTCGCGCCTAGAAGCGTCTAACTTTCATAGCTCTTAGTAACTTGACTGAGGGTCATTTATTGTTTTGAGGGGAAAGAATTGTGCTATCTTCAGGCCTAAATGATACTTGAGTCTCTAACCATTTTCTGGGGTTTGGAACGGCCACCCGCTCCACAAATCATATATTTTGCATCTCGTATCTTTCCGCTGTCTCAGAGGAATGAACAAGTAGTTCTGTTCCCAGTTTCACTGCTTCGTTGCTTGATCGTTTGAACGTCAAAGCAGCTTTTTCAAGTTCCATAATGATTTTGTGACAGAGCACTAATGGAATGGCCTCGGCAGGCGGTTTTTCTGAATAGTTTTGGAACATCAACGCGAACCAATTACTGTAGAAGATATATACCAAGTAATTGGCAAGAAGTCAAAATTCTCATTCACTTCCTTCGAGTTGGAAGAAGTTACAAAGGAGATTAAGCATGATGCCCATGTCGTGAAGGATGGTAGAATGTATTCGTTTCATGCTTTCTCCGGAATGAAGCGACGTAATGGCACCGTACCCTTGCTTCTAGTCGCATAGGACACCATTTAAATACGCCACGATTCCATGGAATTTGAGCATATGCAATGCATCGATGCAGGACTGTGCCACCAGGCGTGGTCGAACAAAGGCCTGTTCGGGCACATGTAGAAATTCCACGATTCGCAGGCA